TAGTTATCTAACTATCCATTCGACCAAATCCATCAAGCCGTTCAGCAGAACAAATCAATTTCAACTTTGAACTCAAGCTTCAATGAACTACATTCAATTTCATTCGACTTGACAAATCATCAAAACCAACTTAAAATCAAATCTGATACACTTCTTGAAGAACTCAAGTTATCATCAAATCTTACTAAACCATTTCACAGATATCTCAGTTATTCAATTATAATTATAGTTTACAAAATGTTGATCAGATACGGTCACTGCCAGCATAGATGCCTCGGGTTGAGAAATCCGAGGTATTTGCCCGAGGTATTTTTTTGCCCTGAGAATTACCTCGGATCAAAACCTCGGGAAGCTTCTGTCCGAGGTTTTGCATGCAAGGATACCTCGGATTTTGTAATCCAAGGTAAATATGTTGGTGGTGGGTCATTTCAATCGATCCAAGATGTGTACTCAAATTCCAATTGACATCAGGATCAGCTGCTATTTAATCAATGACATTCTTGAATTATCATCAGTTGTTTCTCAAACTAACAAAGATAACAAATCATCTAATGTAATAAAATCACATGAAAGCTTCATTCAAGAAAATAGACCTTCAACTTTACTCAGGACAAAGCCTCATGAAAGTTAATCACTTTTGTCAAACCTCTCTACCTATCTCAATTTCAAGTCGCATCTCAAGCTTTCAGATCAATTGGAATAAGCATTTTTAGTGCAGCCAATCCAAAAATATAAAAGATGACTGTTTTTGATAACTTGAAAGATGACTATCCTTCGGGCCCTCATACTCAACCAGAAAACCATGGATTCCAAAACTTGTTGACCAATTGGTTAGCGCATGCGCAAACCGCATTTGATACAGGAGATGTGGATCTCTTGGTTGATTCGTTTGATGACGAAGGTTACTGGCAAGATGTTGAGTGTTCTTGATCCTACTCTACATTTTCACAAAAAGAACCAAGACTGATAAAAGAAGAAGTGATTTGTATTCTTAGATCCTCATACTTGATTTTGACTTTAACTCTTTGAAGAAAGATAAAATTAAATCTTACATTAATCTTTTACAACTCAAACTTTCTTCCCTTCAAAACCTAAGTCTCGATTGACCTGAAATGATCAAACAAGTTCAACTTTTACCTGATGTGAACGTTTTGGAGGGTTTTATTAAATTAAAAACTGATCTTTATAGAGGATCATGAATGATTTGTTTAAGATTACCTTCTACTTCAGATATATATCAGGAAACTGATCATCTGAAAGCTTTCACATTCTTCGTTGAGTCCTTCATGTTTACATAGTTTTCTTTCAAGGTAGATGAGACTGATTTTGATCCATGATGACTATCAGACTCAGCTATGGGAAGTCAAAGGACATGAAGAAAAGATCAAAAGCCGCCGTCCAACAGGCTCAACACATTCTTAGATTCACACCAAAATCAAATAAGAACAAAATTTAACTAGGCTTCAAGTTATTTTTTGGTTTCTAGATCTTTGGGTTTGAAGGCTTTTCATGCTCAGTACCAATGCTTAAATCATATTTATTATCATCAATGAAAGCAGCATTATTGATCTTATCATCTTGGTATACATGGGGATTACCAAAATATTTTCCTGGGGGGTCCAGAACTTGATCAACTATACCAATCTTTACAATTTGTTTGATAATTGCAGTAGGTATATATCAAAGTCTATGTACATCACTTTGGATATTATTATCAATGACTGCATCAGAAGAAGCAGGATGGTCACATTTTACATTTGAGGAAGTTTGAAATACATAATCCAATTCCTTCCTTGAATAACAAGATCATCAAAACATATTGTTTGAAAGAATTCATGATTGATTGATTACAGCTGTAAAAACTAAAGCTCAAATTTCAGCCAGCAAAATGATTCACACAAGGTGTAGCAAATTTGTAAGATTTTATTCCTTTTCACTCTTGGTATTAATTATACCAGGCAAGACTACTAACAAGCCTACTCTATCATTTCTCCCAACATGAAAAACATCCAATCATATAGAAGATCATCAAAACCGCTTCCCTTTACCTGATCAAGAACTGTCTAACCCTGCCTTGGTCGTACAGGTTAACAAAATATAGAGAGGGACATAGTTCTGATTCACTTCAATATCAAAACTGTGCTTTCAGTAGGGTGTTGATTAGTCTTGATTTGTACTTCCCTGGTTTTCATTCTTGGAATCAAAATGTATAAGATCTTCCATTGCTCTGCTCTTACCATTGTGTGTTTTTTTAACTCCACAAACTTCCGAATATCACGGTCCAGAACAAGTCCCTTTAATTTGTGATGTCAACACAATTGATTGGTCAAAAAGACCAGTTTTTTTCTTTTGTTACAGTCAATAGACTCTAGGAATTAGGATTTGGATTACTTACGTTGAGAAGCAATAAAAAAATCTCTCAAAGACTTCTTCAACAAAGCTGCAAGTTGTACTGGATAATTATCACCAAATTGAGTTACAAAGATCCCTCAAAGCCACTTCTTGCCCATCATCATCACAATTGCCAATCAAACAATCTTCTTCATTTAAACCAAACAAAAATTGTAGTTGACTCTAATCTAGGTTATTGTAGATTGAACAATCTTCAATTATGAAGACAATCTTTAGTTACTTGAACATAAATTTCTTTCATGATTTAGAAAATTGCTATTGAATTCCAAAAAGAAGAAGAAACTCTCACTTTTCATTTCTTTTTGGTATGTACACACCTTGAAATACATTCATAGTACATTGAACAAAATTCAAATGTTTCATATCTTCTTTGGATTTGTTAATCATTATAATTTCCAAAGAATCTCAAAGCTTAATAACCTTTGTTTTCTTTTGATGTACAGCCGTTGTAAGATCTATTGGTAGATTTTTGAAAAGTTTTGTTGTCGTCAGATTTAACTTCTGAAGTCAAAAACCTCAAAATCATGACACTCTCAGACTAACTCAATTGTTTTTGTGCTAGATTGGACCAATGGGCAGTAGAGTTATCAATCTCAGAAGGGTTTTTTCAAGTTTTTGACCTTTGCGTTAAATCTGGTGACAACACAACAATTGCAAAATCTACCAATAGATCTTACAACGGCTGTAAGCCTCCTGAGAGCAGGCCTGCTTGGACCTCCCAATCTGAAGAGATTGAAAACTTCAATGAAGTGGGATTTGTTTCAATTTTTGTATGAATGCAAAGTGAATTCCTTTGATATTTATCCACGATCAAAATTTTGACAAGGGAAATGGTTAATTTTCATGTTTGACAACTGATCTCATGTTAACCCGCTCACCAGGATGACCGTAACATTGATTGCACAGCCTTTATAGATAAAAATATCAATCTTCAAAAAAAGAAGCCTGTTCCTTTTGACCACTTGATTGATCATGATTATGAATTTCAAGCCCAGCAATCAGTCTGCTCACCTTCCAGAAGCAGTTCAAGACTTTGTCATGGATTGCTGGTCCAAGCCTTTTCTGGTTATGGTATAACTTAATAGTAATACTCTTGACCAAAGCCTTTCCTGTTCAATGTTTTAGAAGGAGAAATTTGTTGTCTTCTATGGTTTCCAGACTGGTGCAGCCAAAGAGTAAGTAACACTGGGCAAATGTAGTATTTTTCCCAAGTGAAAAATGATTGACCTGAAGGACAAACAAAATTGAAAAAGGTGGAATTCTGCATTCATTCTTCATGTGCATTAACACTGCATTTTTCTGCATTGATGCTGCATTTTTTTTCATTAATGGTGCATTAATGGTGCATTTTTATGCATTAACATAGCATTTTTAATCATTTTTGACATTAATTCTAATCATTTTGCATAGCCGAAAAATACTACATCTGTGCAGTGTAAGCAGATTGGCAAAGAATGTTACACTTTGATATGGAATCAGTAGTCTGGTTGTTGATCAAGATGAGTGTTTTATCTCACATTGTACGGATGAACCTCAGTCTGACTTTGTCCTCATGATCCAACTATGATCAACAGTTGTGACTTGGATACAGTCAATCATATGGCTGAAGATCAATTAGTGGTTTTTGTGATGGCTAATTATGGCAAAGGGGATCCCACAGACAATACAGTCAACATGCTCAAGTGACTCAAGACTACACCTCAAGATCAGCTCAACCTCAGAAACTTGAAGTTTGTCATTTTTGTGTTGGAATTGTAGATGTGAGCAATTTTGTTACTCATGTGTCTTCCTCATCTTTGTTTTCCGGTACTTCATCTTTACTTCCTGCACGTAAGTGGTCTAACATGGAGGACTGTTGAATGAATGCCAGTCCTTGAGTTTGCTTGGGTTCATCCACATACAGAAACATTCTTAGGCCTAATTATATTGTTGGGGCTTGCTTCACACAATATCTGAAAGATGATAAGTCATTGAAATCCTATTCCACTCGGGTTGAGTGGATTTCAAACCGATTTGCTGGTTCTTATGTATTTCTAAACTGTCAAGGTGTGGTGGGCAAGATCATAGACAAAGAGCTACCAGGAACAGGGGAAAAGGGACAAAGGGGTACCAAAAATTGGAGACTTAGAAATGGGAGACATTGAAAAGTCTATGGAAGAAGGTCAGCCCATTTGAAATTGTGCCACATGTACCCCACATTTTCCACTACGCTTGGACTGATGTTCTTGATGGCTTATCTCAGATTATCCCGCTTGGAAGGGCCCAATGTGGTTAGTCTTCCAGGCTGAGATCAGTTGGAAGGAAAGTGCTTGAGGTGATGTAATAGACTTTGATGCCATATTTTTTAACAATGTGAAGGTGTGTTATGAGTCTGTGGAACAAAGTGTCCCTGAGTGGGTCTGAGTTGGTACAAACGTTCCAGTAGATTGGGAGTCCATGAAATAAAATATGAAACTTTAGAGTCCATGTCTCAGGATAAAGGAGTGGTCAAAGGTGATGCTATCACAAAAGGGTCAAAGAAAACACATGCAAGGTAATCACACGGCTATTACTTTCAAGGGCTGATAGATCAATCATACAAACTGACAATGTATGGCACATGTGTAGCTTGTTACCATGTCCTGAAGATCAGTGTCTAAGTGGTAGAGAGAGAGCTGTGCGGCGCCCGCCGCTGATAGGGCTAGTATCTTTGGATAGAGAAACATCCCTCTTTTAGCCCCCAGAGATTGCGATCATACCTGATAGCTTAAACTAATCAAGTGTCTATCCTGTTATCTGTACCTATCTTTCAGGTCAGAGCTCGTAGTATAGGCAGCGTAGGAGTGTTTACTTTACTTATCAGTGCTTTGCACTTTTTCAGGTCAGAGCTTGTTGTATAGGCAGCATAGGAGTGTTTACTTTACTTATCAGTGCTTTGCACTTTATCAGGTCAGAGCTTGTTGTATAGGCAGCGTAAGAGTGTTTACTTTACTTATCAGTGCTTTGCACTTTATCAGGTCAGAGCTCGTTGCATAGGCAGCGTAGGAGTGTTTACTTTACTTATCAGTGCTTTGCACTTTATCAGGTCAGAGCTCGTTGTATAGGCAGCGTAGGAGTGTTTACTTTACTTATCAGTGCTTCACACTTTATCAGGTCCCGTGTTCTGAGACTCCAAACATATTTATAATGGACCTCTTGATGTCTTTGTCACCAAAACAAAGGGCTCGAAATTCAAAAACCTTACCTTCAATCAGGGTATGTGTGTGTGGCTTGTGCGTCAAGCCTTGCCATGGTCTCGACCAGGGGATCCATGGCTTTGGGCATGTATCAACTATATCCGACCTGAAGCAAAACTATTTGGGAGGCATTGGGCAGCTTATGAGGCCAAACGCCTAAACTTGTCCATGAAGGCTCAAGTTCTCAAGGGACTAAAGGTATGACACACCATTTTAGAACTGTAATCTATTGATATAAATTCTGATTGTTAATATTATTATTAATGTGTCAACCAGGGCTTGGCTTCAAGATTCTCAATGCAACACAATGTGTGGACGTCTAAAGGAAATCGACATGGTTTCATATGTGCCAATATCACATATATCAATCCATCATGGAAGTACGTCTCTTGTCACCTTACACTCACTGCAAACATTATTCAACTTCCCCAAGTGGGCAGGAAAAAATGATTAGGAGTATGATTTGTCATAAAATGATCTATCACTCCACACCTGAGCCATAACACCCACACTACATATGTGTAGCAGGCTCAGTGAATATATGGTTATCATGTACATACAGTTCTGCTCAGTTATATGCTCATCAGGATAAGTTATTCATATGTAATACATGCTGTACCCTTTTTGAGATTGAAAAAAGCATTCAAAAGATTGACGACATACACTGACTCAATGTTTTGGTGTGATCTCATCAACTCAAATGCATGTAACACCCTTTCTGTTACTAAGAAATAGCTTCAACAATATTGCCTGAGCAGCTACAGATTTATATGTAGTGAATTTTTGGGACAATTTTTTCAAAGTCAAAAAAGTTACATGTGGTATAACATGTGATTTAATTATTCTGATGGGCAAAAAACTGAGCAGACCTGTATGTACATGATAGACAACTATTGACTTAGCTTGCTGCACATATGTAGTGTGGGTGAAATGGCTCAGGTGCGCAGTATGAGATTCTTTTATGACAAACTGTACTATTAATCATTTTCCTCTTCCAAATTGGGGAAGTTGAATGATGTTTACAGTGACTCAACGTGGTCGCATGGGAACACCAAGGTTCTTGGTTGGCTGAACCTTTAGCCAACGTCTTGATCAAGCATGAACTGGTCAATAAGATAAGCTTTTGGCTCATTTATTTCTTCATTTCTACTGTTTTCTTACATTCTTTATTTTATCAATGTCACCTCCTGAGCCAGACAACCGACTCGGGGTCAAATAACAAAACCATGGCCAAGGAGATGCATCGGCAGTCCACCAATCAATCTGGACCCAATTTTGATTACGTCTGGAATCCCAAGAATATGCATATATTCTGCTTCTGCCACAAGCTGGCCTTGATTGTTGGATTGGGTCTGGCAGCTCTGGGTCTCAAAACACCTCCACCTTGCAAGGCCAAGACTGCGTTTCAAGGTCAATTTCTGGCGGTTTGCACATCTCTAGCAGAAGACGACAAGCTAGCTGAAGATCCTCAAGCTGGAGACGGACCCGTTATGGAAGTACCAGATGTCTCCACTGCCACGGTGCCTACTGAAGATGTTGGTTTGAATATTGAACATGATCTTCAAGAGTTAGCAGATGAAGAACAACCAGACAAAGAAGATGATGTGATGGATTGTTTAGAAACTACTTTAGGACATCAAGACCATGAAGACAAGCTGGATTGAGACCCTGCCGATGCTGAGGACAAGGGAAACCCCATCCTCAACCTTGACGAGAGTGTTGCTCCTACTCACCGGAGGCAAGCAAACAAACTCACCTACATTCTAGAAAAGATCAGGCTTCCTTCTCACTTTCTCAATGCGCTCATTGTCTTTAATTTTCTCTTTTTCCTTTTTATCTTTTCATATCAGCTTGACTTTGTGATACGGCGTATCACACGATGTTCATCTTGGCGCCACAAATTTTAACGCGTCATGAAAGCCTGTGGTCTATCAACTGGCTCACTGATTGCAGGATACGGCATTAGATGGAATATCAAATACATTAGTCGACACAAGGCATGGTTGGCACGCGAGGTAAGAATAATGATATCGATGTCTCGATTTGATTTACAATTAATAACCTTGAATCTTTCATCTGTAATATGCAAACAACGGGTCATAGACCAGCTTCTGAAAGAAGATCTTGAACATGTACATTCAAAATTTTGGCGACCGCGCAAAAGTGGTAAAGCTTATGGATACTTCCATGAGATCACCATCAGTCCTTCTGAATGGGCCTTGATCCAGGAACTCAAGACTGAGCTTAAGGTAAGTAGAATCAAATGATTCATATTGGAACTCTAAATACTGAAACTTGTTTGAATCATTTAATTTTCAGCCTTTTTTCTCCATCACCAAGCAGATGGAAGGGAATAAGCTCACTGGCGCGCTTGTTATTCCTCAGTACATTGACTTGCAAGCAAAATTGAAAGCTCGCGAACAGAAACTATCACGATGAGATGCCCTTTATCCGATGGTGGCTGTCATGCTTGCCAAGCTTCAAGTGTAATTGGCTGAGGCGCTTGCCTGCAAAACACTCGTCATCGCCACCCTTCTCCATCCAGCTTTTTGACTTAAGTTTTTTGAGCGATTTTTTGGGAAGACTTCAGCAATATTTATTAAAGCCAAATTGACATTCAATACCATCTTCAAAGACTACCAGCTCAAATCAATGAAGAAGAAGACAGATCCTCCTCCTACAAGCACCAAGAATAGCTCATGTCCTTCTTCAAGCACAGCAATGTTTGATTTGTATAGAAATGAAGCAGAAGAAGATGAGGACCTTGGTGATGATTGTCAGCTTAAGGACTTCATTTGAGGCAGTGTTTGCATGAAAGAGCCTGAGTACGAACGGAGCGATCCAAATGAAGCACTGTGTTGGTGGTTGGTGAGTCAACCTTGTCTTCTTCCTTGCAATGACCAGATTAATTTCATTCATAATACTTTGTTATTTCCCAGGTTAATTCAAACAGATACCCCACCATTGCACTGATGGCTTGGGATTACATGGCTTGTTTGGGTTCTTTGGCAGTGCCAGAGTGAACTTTTTTGGCAGCTGCCAATATATGTGCAGCCAGCCAAGGCGGGCTTGCGCCAATCACTATTGAACGATTGGTTTCAACTCATATGTGGTTGGTGGAGATGGTGTGTGATGGTGAACCTTGTATCTTCAATACAGGTCTGGTCTTGAACGATTAAACCCGTCTGGTTAGATTAAGAAAGATGCATTTCTTGAAAGGAGAATAAGATATTAATAATTTTGATAAGAAAAAGAGAAGATAAATCTAGAGAAACGTAACACTATATAAATAAGAAAACATACACCACGGCCCCTTGTAACCGTTGTGGTGAGCAAGATCTCTACTTAAGCAAAAAAAATTAAAAATTATGTGAAAATTTGTATTTTTGGTCAAAGGCAAATTTATTATTGAGATTATTAGTCATCAAGGGTATCAAAGTTGATTCATAATTTGCATTTCATTATCTTTCAAATTATATATTTACATAAGCAATTGATAAGACCATTTAAGAGTAAAGAAAAATTCAAAAAGATCAGTAAAAATAGTATAAGAGTGAAAATCAAATTGAAAGAATTAGTAAGAAGGGATTTGAGGAAGAAGAACATTTAGGTTGGATCATGAGGAATGGAAACTGTTATGAAAAGAATGAAAGAAGAAGAAGAATATTAAGAAAGTTGGAGGAAAATTTGAAAATATGGATACAAAAGGCTGGAAACTGGTTTTTAGGTTATTATTATAAGAGTTATTGGTTCAGGAAGGTTTTATTATGAAAGGGAAGGACAACATTAGTCATCATCAGCTTTAATCACGAGGATTGATAAGGGAGGTGTGAAATTATTCAAGAAAAGGGAAATTTCGAAAAGGGGTACTATGGCAACACCGCAATCGCTACGCTCCGCTCAGGTTTTTGACCCATTTTGGGAGCAGAGCGCAGAGCTGCGCTCAATCTCGCTGCGCGCCAAATCGCTCTTTTTTTTGTTTTCCTTACCTCGGTGTGCGTAGTGGTGAAACCACTACGCACATCGGCTGGTTTTTGGAAAAAAGACAAACTTGATGAAATTTTTAAAAGCATAGTGATGTATATCTATGGCCAATATAATGGAAAAGAAAAGGAAAGAAAAAGAAATAGAACAAAAACATTTGAAAAAAACACTACAACTTCTTTTTTTCTGAATCTTGTTTTGTTACCATGCTTTTCTTTTTTTTTGCCGAGCTATTGATAAAAGCTTGAAAAGCCTTGATTGCTTCTTCAAAATCTCCACCTGGAACAATCTCTTCCTTCAACCAGGCTTGGGAACCCACAAGACGTTCCATGGTCTTAGGGTGCATTGATCCACGTAACGGGGTACAAATGTCGGCCGCGGCGGAAAAAGTACGCTCACACGCACACGACGTGGCTGACACAGACAAATAGTCACAAGCTAGTTGAGCAAGGATCAGAAAGTGGGATTCATGTTTCTGTGACAGAAAATAAGGTGTTAGCAAATGTGTTGTATATTATATACATGAATAATAAAACGATAAAAAATAAAAAAATAAACTAACACTCCATCAATCGAGAGCGGTTTGGTCCTTGGCTATTGGGTACTTCCCTTGCAGATAGTCCTCGAGTTCAGAATTGAAGACTTTTTCAGTTGTGGTGTTTGAAGCTGCAAATATATCAAAAGTGTTGGGTTCCTCAGGCTCAGCAGACTCCTTGCTCCGATCAGGTGATGGTGATCGCTCTTGATGTTGATTTTCCTCCAAGACCGTATTGAAAGCGGTTTCAATAGCAACATTGGCTGAGGAATAATATTCAGGATAGTGGACGCTGAAGAACTTGGCCCGGAATAGGGGATTAAGGACAGTAGCAAGAATGATACTATCA